CCCTGCCTTAAGAGCAATGAGTATCTCCATACCAGAGACGAAGGATTTGGGAGAAAGGAGATCTTTTGGAACAAAACACCCAAACAAAATGTCCTTTGAATTGTATGCGTTGCATCCTTGGTTTGCAGCGCCCTCCACCGAAGCCTGCCCTCTCCAATTTAGCTTGTCGCTGGTCAATACAACGATGGCAGTTTGCAGACGCCGATATTACATGTCCGATGTTTTCATTTATCTGAGAAACCATTTTAATAAATGCACAGATTGTCCTGCGCGAACCACAAGGTGCCACTCCGAAGCTGTAGAGCACAAGCGCTTTCTCGTGTCGGTGTAGTCCGAGGGCAGAGCAGATGGAACGGAAGCTACAGAGAGAGGGGCCATTTATCACAATGACAGAAAGTGGGTAGCCTCAATCCTTTCGCCACAGGGAGGGAAAACCGGGGTGGCAAAGCCAAGAGGAAGGAATCCAAAAAAAAAACAAACCACCAAAAAACCCTGGACTTTGTGTCACGGGGCAAACCTCAACACTGTTTGTAACTTAATGATGTTATTAGCCTTAGACATTCAAGTACAGGCAGTCCTTGACTTAGGAGTGCAATTGAGCCTGAGATTTATGTGGAAGTGGGAACATTGGTGAAGTTGATTTTTGCCCCCTTTTATGACTTTTCTTGCCGATGGTCGAGTGGTCGAAAGTCGAACATAACTACATGTTTGACGATGATGATGAGGATGACTAAAGCAGCCATGTCCCCAGCCCACATTTAGCTGATAACATCTCAGGGTTTCTAAGGTTATTTTTCTCCACCCCAACATTTATATTAGCACACAACATCTGGCTTATAGGCAGTGTTGGGATCAGGCATGATATTCCCCTCTAAAAAAAAAATCGGGGCTGGGCAGCCGCTTCCCTGCAGGTGGGGCTGAGGCCGCCGCCTGGGGAGTGCCCGCTGCTTTCCCTCGCCAGGGCCGGGCGGTGGCGTGTTGCACGGAGAGACAGATGGTCCGTGGCTGCCCAGCTCCCTTTTCCTGCTGCTCAGCGGCCTCCGCTCGCACCGCCCAGGCTCCGCACAGGTGTCCGGCTGGGGCTGTCAGGAGTTGCTACCGCCGGCGCGGCTCCGCGCGACTCCAGTCCCGCGTTGCCTTGGGAAGGGAAAGGCAAAACCGGGAGCTGCTGCGCCTGAGCCTCCGGTGCCGCCGCTGCTGTTGCAAAGCGCCGCCGCGGCTCTTCCCGAGGCAACGCGGGACTAGAGCCGCGCCGGCGGTAGCAACTCCTGACTCAGGGGGCCTCCAAGGGGAGGGGAAGGAGGAGAAGAAAGGGGGGTGGGCGATTTCCAAAAATATCGGAATTCCGATTTTAATCGGAAGAATATCATGTCTGGTTGGGATTCAACTGGTGCAATAACCGGTTCGGTGAGCACATGCTTCGAATCAGCTGGACCGCAAAACACAGAAATAGAACACATACGAGAGCCGTGATGGCGAACCTGTGGCACGCGAGCCCCAGCCAAACCTACCTGCACTGCGCATGTGTGCGTCTCCCAGCTGATTTTCAGCCCGTTTGAGTCCCAGAGGCTCAAGGGAAGCCTGTGCAGCCTCGGGAGGCCGAAAAATGGGCCTTCTGGAAATACCGGAAGTGCCCGTTTTCAGCCTCCGGAGGGCTTCTGGAGTGCAGGGGAGGCCATTTTCGCCCTACCGAGGGCTTGAGGGAAGCCTCTGCAGCCTTTGGAGGCCAAAAAATGGGCCCAAATATTGGAAGTGCCAAAACAGGCCCATTTTGTAAAAAAGGCAGGAAGGCAACATTCTGATGTTACTTACAGAAACTGTTTCTCCCTGTTAACCCTTATTACATTCTTGGCAAGACTAGACTTCCTGTCTCAGGAACGTCTCTGGAGTTTCTTTTCCCCTCCTTTGCTGGTACTTTGCTTGTGTGGAGTGACCATTCAAAGCTACAATGGCACTGAAAAAAGTGACTGATGACCATTTTTCACACTTACGACTGTTGCAGCATCCCCCACAGTCATGAGAGGCCAGGCGAGGAGATGCGTGCCTCGATGTGAGTGATATTGAGTTGGCCACGCCCAGCCAATAACATGACCACCAAGCCACGCCCACCAATTAAGCCACGCCCACAGAACCGGTTGTTAAAAAATTTGAATCCCACCCCTGATGGAAACTAATCAAGGAGAGAAGCAACTTGGAATTAAGGAGGAAGTTTGTAACAGGGAGGACAATTAACCAGTGGAACAGCGTGCCTCCAGAAGTTGTGGGTGCTTCATTACTGGAGGTTTTTAAGAAAAGAGTGGACAGCCACTTATCTAAAATGGTATAGGGCAACGATGGCTAATGTTTTTGGGCTCCTGTGCCGAAAATTAAGCGCGAGAGCAGGCAATGCACGCCTCCCCCCCAACCCCTGCACATACAATCAGCTGTGGGTGGGCGGTATGTGTGCATGCTCATTAAGGCTCTTCCAGGCGACCTCTCGCGGGCCAGCAGAAGTGGCACGCACATGTGCCATAGGCTCACCATCACGGGTATAGGATCTCCTGATTCAGCAGGGGATTGGACTAGAAGACCTCTAAGGTCCCTTCCACTTTTATACTGATTGGCTGTGACGGGAAGACTCCATTATGGTCCTAAGTTGAGGATTACCTATAGAAACGTCCCAACTCTCTGCCTCCGTGTATCAGACAAGCAGAGGGACAAGTGATGGATGACTGACACCTTGAAACTGTCAGGTGAAGGTTCTTTACAATGCTGCTCTTTTTCCAGATGTGTTTACAAGGGTGTTTAAAGATGCATTGTTGACGTGCAAACTTTGGCCGTGGTTTTCGCCTTTGTTGCGGGAAACATTAATGTTAACAGTGATGATTCCCACAGTGAAGCATGGAGGCTTTGAAGACGAAGGCAGCGTGGAAATGAAACATGCATTATTCCCCTTTTAAAATTTCATCTGTACGCCAAGGCAAAAATCTGCCATGGCAGAACTGCTGAATGTCAGGCTATGGTTAATGGCTCAGGCTACAGTTTTGTGGGAGGAATCCTGCAATGTCTTTCCGCTGTTGTTTATTTTACTATTCCAAGGGTTGCCGCAGAGTGACAAAAGGCATATCATCTGCATCTTGAAATACAGTATATGTGGACATCTCAATATGTGATTAGAGTTGTGAAGCATGATTCATAACCAGCCATCATAAGCTATCACTATTTCCTTGGCTTTCCTCATCGGGCTGTGTGGATAGCAGACAGAGGGGCATGAAATAATTCAAAACCACTTGTATTTCTTTCTCTGTCTTT